CCTGTTGCGGCCAATCAGAGGGCTCCGTCCATGCAGGGGGCATCGGGGGCACTGTTGGCCAATCAGAAAACACCTTTCATCCCCCTGTATACACCCCGTGGGAAATGCCGCTCGGTGGAGGAACTCTGCGGGTTCTTTGCGTGGGCATGAGCAATGGCACTAGCATCTCTACTCCCACTCCTCCTGGGCTTGGCTTTACCTAGCTGAGCCCCTGCCTCAGCCCAGCGTCCAAGAGCCTAGGGGAACCCACTGTCTTCAATGACTCCCCCCGCCCTGGGGTGTGTCTCCTTTGCTTTGGTCCCTGTATGGCTCAGGCTGACTAGAGCTCCTGCTGCCTTCAGCTTTGTTCTGTAGCAATGAGGATGCAAGACTTTGTCTACCATTAGGCTAGGAAAGCTCTCAGTGAGTTGGCCATTACTGAGCTCCAAGAGCTGGAGCCACAGGAAGAGGTGAGGCGTGAGCCAGTTGCAAGAGTAGGTGCCTGACAAGGAAGATACCATGATCAAGTGGGGGCATCTGAATCCCAAGACCTCTAGACTTGGATCTGCATATAGGATGCCCGCCAGTGGATTTGGGAGTATCTGAAGTCCAAGGGTGAGAGCCTGGGATGGAGGATGCGCGCCATACATGGTGTTTTGAACAATTGAGTTCCACCTGCTGAATTGGTCTGGTTCTTGGAACAACTGAGTTCTGCTTAATCAGTATGATTTGGCTGATTTGACCAGGAACACAAAATATATTAATTTAAAAAAAAATCAGTCTGGGTAGTTTCCTGCCATGATTGGAAAGAAAGATTCCCTTCTTCCTGACCCCTGAACGTCTATATGTAGAATAGGGTGGAGATGTGTCCTTGTGCTGCAGGCAGGCCCCCCCATAAGCAATCTTGGCTACACACCTATTTTACGGAGCTGGGGGATTTCCCCCTAGCTTGCTGCTTTGGCCGGTTGGCTCAAGGCAAGCAACACTTGGGGGACATCTGAACCCCAAGACCTCTGGGCTTGAGCCTGCTTGTAGGATGCATGCCATGGCTTTGGACATATCTGAAACCCCAGGTTGATGAGCCTGGGAGGGAGGATACTTGCTGGTGGTAGCACCATGTGGATTTGAACACCTGAGTTCTGCTCAATTGATAGGTTTTGGAACTGATTGGCTGATTTCACCTGGGACATGAAATTTAAACAAGAAAGAATAAGTAAAGCAGCTCCAGCCTTGAATTGCGGCAATGGAGGGTGGCAGGGGGGTTATAAACCAGGCAGGCAAATCTAGACTCTTGGTGTTACTGTATCTGCTTGCATGCCATGTGCAACTTTCCCTCCAAAATTAGCTTTTTGAAATTGTGTTGTAAGTGGGAGAAGCTGATATTTTTTCCCCTAAAATAGCAGAAGTGGCACCTTTATAAGGCCTATTTGGCATGTGAATTATAGCATACAGAGAGTCTTTAGTCATTGTCTTAGTCATGTACATGCATGTAGAGAATACCTAGGAAAAGGGCATCCCCTGCCCTGAGGAGTTTTTAATGTAAATAGACTGCAAACAAAGGTGGGGGGTGGGAGGAAGGGAGGATGGCAGGAATAGAAATGCCATCTTTATTTGCAGATAGGGAATTAAGAAAAAGAAAGATGTGAACTTCAATCCTGCAGTTTGTGTTGATGAATGGTGTCACTGAAGTTAGGTGGACTAGTCATACTCATAACATCAACTCTTTGGAGAATCAGTTAATTTGCACAAGGTCACACAGGAAATCTTTGCAATATTTGAGGTGACTCCATGTCTCTTAAGTTCCCAGCCCCTGTCTGAACCACAGAAGCATTTGAGTTAGAAATGAAGAGGAAGCTTAGAGTGTTGATATCACTGGTGAAAGAGCAAAAACTTTCATGGGACTCAAGTGACTGGTCCTAGGCTTGATCACATTAAACCAAGTTTTAAAAAATATATAAGCAGAGATATTTTTACATTCATGTTTTGCATCTTCTTTCTAGCCAAAGTTCGATTCTGACAGTGTGGAGCACTGGATCAAGGTAAAATCATGAACAAAGGACTTCATGAAACAGGGATATGCCGGAGTCAGGGAACAGCATGGCTCAGCAGGTTGAAAATGAGACTAAAAGTCTTTCATCCTTAAGTTTGCATCTGGTTGAGCTTATGATAAAAAGTTGGTGTCTGTTGATAATTGCTTAGTAGCTTCTGGGACATAAATGGATGGCTCTTTGTCAAATCTCCAGTGAAGATGTCTAAAATCTACCACCAAGATTCATTTTAGTGTATTTAGTCAAATCCAAGATGAGGCCCACCCCCTGCCCAATCAGTATCAGTGGCAGCAGAGTTGTGGGGGGAAGGAAGCCTTTTCTTTAATTTGAGTACTGTACTGGGGCAGGCAGTGGCTCAGGGCTGAAGCTGAGTTGCCACCTGCCCCAGGTCAGAATGGTTCATTGGGTGAAGGAAGAGGCCCACTGCCAAGGGGAGCATGCGGGGAAAAGAGAACCTGCAGCCTGACCCCCATGCTTGTGCCTTCCCCCTCACCCGCTGCTTCCCTCCCCCCTTACTTTTTGCTCTGGTCTCTCCAGCCCTGACCTCACCTGGCTGGGTACTGCTTCTGCCTGGCCAAGTTGGGCTGGGCTGGACTGTGGCCAGGCCAGGGCCACACTGCTGCAGACTGCCCTGGAGGAGCAGAACTGCAGCAGAAGGTAAGTGTGGGAGGGTAGGCAACCGGGGTCAATCATGGGCATGGAGGTGGGGAAGGCAGACCGCAGGGAGGAGCAGGAGGTGGGAAGGCAGAGTGGGGGAGCAGATAAAGGCATAGGGGCAGGGGACAGGCACAGGCATGGAGGGGCAGGTGGTGGCAGACATGGGGGAAGGACTGGCAGAGGCATGTGGTACAGGGGGCAGGGGAGCAAGGAGCAGGAATCTGGTCCCATGCCCCCCATCACTGTTTTCCCTGCCACAGCAGTGGGGGAGGAGGGTGGGTACAAATTTAAGATTACTTTCCATTAATTAGATTTTTTACGTAGAAAATTATAACACATTTATCATTTTCCATGTACAGAATTTAATTATTGGGGACTTCATCTTAAATTTGAAGTTATCTTGGATTTGGGTAAATACAGTACTTATTTATGAACTAGAATCCTCAAAACAGTTAAAGATAATAAGCCTGTAAGAAAAGTGAAGCTGCCAAAGAAAATGATTGCTTGTGGTGGCCATATTGTCTTGTGTTGTGATCCTGTTAGTACTGGGCTAAACCAGTTATGATTCTGATAGAGGGCCTTTAAGGTTCACCTAGGTAATGAAGGATGTGATGCTGTTGAGTAGATAGGTCATGTTGTTCCCTTAGGGTCAGTACTGTCCCCTAGTCTAGCAAGAAGCTTAGGGTCTCTGTGCTACTGGAACCACCTTCTTTTATGCAAAATGTATCTTCAAGGTCCTGACTGCTAGTGAGTGTTAAAAATGCAGTGATACCTTTGGCAGGAATACACGTTAAACCCAGTCTTACCCAAATACCAGTTTGGTAAATGTATCTTGGTTCCCAGCAGTATCAGTAGTTTGTGGTAGGGCTGCCCCACTTCTGAGTGCATAGGAGACTCGAGGCCTTTCCTGCAACAGTGAAACGCACTTGGGCTTGTTTCTCTCAAGCTGAACAATTGATTTTAATATTTTAGATCTTCCCAAGATCTAAACATTTATTATTGTTTAAAAGAAATGAGGTCAGATGCTAAGCTACATTTTTAAGGCTTTCAAACAGAGGGGTCTGCAGTTTAGCTTGATGCATGATGGTTGAAATATTTCTTTAGTACAATCTGTAAAGTCCCCTGTCCTTTTTCAGAATAGAAGATGCAGCACTGCTATGAGATAAAATAGTCGTTTTTAGAAATCTGAGCGCACAAAAAACACTGAATGAATGGCTTATCTAAACTCATTTTTTTCCATTCTTTATCTTAGAAGCAACTGAATGGAATGTGCCCAAGTGTATCTCCCATCACACACAAGGAAGCCTACTGTTACCTCTGGATTGAACACAAAGTTCAGAAATTTCCCTCTAACTAGTAGTAGGGTTGCATTATAGTAGCTGTAATGATGCAGGAAATAGGTGAGAAGCAAGGGTTTTTCGGAGATATCTTTTATTGGACCAACTGTATATTTAGGAGATATGTTAGACAAACTTCCGGGCACATCAGATCTCTGATACTGTGTGCCCAAAAGCTTGATTGACAACCAAAAAAAAATTTTTTTTAAGTTGCAAGCACCTAAAGACAGGTCTTGATAGCCTAAGTGCTTTATAAACCTACTTGGTAGCATGATGTTATGAGATTATAATAATGTATAGATAAACTCTTTCTTCATGTGGACACTTGCTGAAGTTATTGGGAATCTGCAGGAGTACCCTAACATGGAGCATAGAATCGGAATCTAGAATGTATCATGTTTGAAAAGGAGGATGTATCAGTCATGAACAATGTTTCTTGCCTCCTTTACCTATTTTAAAGAGAGTGGAACAAGCCTCTGAGTTTGCTGTTTCTGAAGCTTTTTCCCTTAACAAGTCAGCATACTGTAAAGGTCTACATGGTCCTGTGTTGGATCTGGAAACAACAGAGCAGCTACAGGATCATGACGAGGCCTATGCAGAAGGTAAGTTTAAGTTCCCCCCCTTCTTCCCCCTTCGCCTCTGCATGAGCTGTTAAAGGCACCCTGTCAGCTTCAACATGTCCCCCAGTGGATTTTTTTTTTATTTTTTATAAATAGGCTTTTACTGAATCTAGGACCAAAAGGAGTAGTTCATACACCGGGTTAGATTTCAGTTGTACAGCCTAGTGGAGAAAGACACAATGAAAATCAACATGTTGAAACTGAAGTTAGACAACTACTGAAACAAACTACTAAAGGAAATGGTAGATCCTCCATTTATTTCTTCAACATTTCAGATGAAGACTGGACAGCTGCCTTTATTGAAAGCCATGCCTTAATCAAACACAAGTTATGGGCCTCACTGTAGAAGGAGCTGAAAGGCATTTTGTGGCCTGTGCTATAGTAGGTCACAGAAGATGGTCCAGCAGTTCCTTCTGGCACTAAAAATATTTATGAATAATTTTATTCGTTCTCTTGAATTCCAGTGAAAAGTTTCCTTAATAAAAGCTCTTTGTATCGCAGCTACAGCCCAAACCATGCGGTATTACCAACCTGAATGTGGCAAATGCCTGCAAGCGAAAAGGAAGTGATTTCCATTATCTCTGCTGTCCTAACTAAAGGAAATGCAGGCGCTGCACAGGCAGCATGAAATGTTAGAAGCAACTTGGATCTTTACACATGACTAATTATTTTACAGCACTCAAGCCAGCAAGACGCCATACAGAACAGATGGAAAGGCAGGGCCCTTGAAAGAGCTTATATTCTACTAATGTCTGAGTCAGCAGTTTCACTTGTCAGACTCTGAGGTTCTAGTAGAAGCAGTGAGAAAAACATCTATTTTGTTAGACAATAATTTCTGTGTATGTTATCCAGTGCTATATCTGAAAAATAGAGCTACCTTCTGACAAGTGTGTGAAATTTGAAAGTGCTTTCCTAGCACTTCTTGTTTCTTGTTTGTCTTTGTTTTTGTTTATCATCCTTTTACACCTAATAATCTTTCCTGAGCAGTCGAGCACAACCTGAAAGCTTTTAGCTAGAAGCCAGAATTATAATACCCAAGATTATCATCTGCAGTAACTATTTACCAATAATACTGACAAAGGAAGTGTAAAGCTCCTTTACTCCAGCTATGATGAGTCCACATTGCTCTCTTAAAGAATGCCAGAGTCCCAATAAGATAAGCGGGCTTCATCTGGTATTAGATAAACAGCATTGCTTATGGATCAGCCTAATGATAGATCGCAAATTGGGGTAACAGATTACATTTTTGTTGCTCTCGACTTCTTTTTTCCCCATTCTTTGTGTATTTATATATAGATATATATCTATATAGATATATATCTATATATCTCTATAGGATATATAGATATATCTATAGATATTACATTTGCTTGTGTACCCTTTTATTTTGTTGTATAGCTTAGTTGCAGTACCAGAGATTTGGTGTGGGTGTTTCCTTGTCTCACACTAGAAAGAAGAGTTTTTACAAAAGAACTTTTCTTCCAAGGGTTTGTTAGGCCTTTGAATTTAATGAAAAAGCTAAAAGTTATAGCCCCGTTCCCCTAAAAAAGACTTACGGCTTTTTATTCCAGGGCTCAGTTATGATGGAATAAAAAAACCAAACACCTTCTAGGTTTTTTGTATATTGAGAAGAAGGGATCAGGGGAAGTAGTGATCCAATTACATTTTCCTTTACATATCACCCTGCAGTCATTTCAAATGCACAAAACAGCTTGTTATGCAATTCTTCCAAGGGGACAAAGTCTTGCTATTGTATGCTTACAACAATACTTCCCATCCTAATAAACCCATCCATCTTTCTGTCCCCTGTAGCCCAGGAGCTGCTCAATGATTGGATGAATTCCAAACTGAGACTGAAGCTGGCGAGTGACATAGAAGAGGATGTTGGAGAGTCTGCAGGAGACTCTAATCCTTCTAAAGTGCCCCTGGCTGACTTTATGAAGTATGAGCGGTTTGATGGTGAGAGCATCACAAAACCATTCCTAACTGACCTTGGAGGCTGTTTTGGACAGGCAGACTGGCCTGCTGCTGAGATGATAGGCTTGAAAAGCAGGAATCCTCTTTGTTACCAGGCAGTAGGAATAACCTAGGTTAATAGAGTCCTAGACTTTTTTCCTCACTCGTGCACCAACTTGCTGTGTCACTGCATAAGAAAGCCCTTTCAACTCTGTGCACCCTAGTTTCTCCACAAATAAAATAGAGCTAACATTTTCCTGACTCTCAGAGATGTTCCAAGGCCTGTCAGGTTTGTACAATAGTTTGAGATCTTCACAATCAAGGGAGAAAAGGTAGCAAAATCTTTCTTCTTAAATTAGTGAATGGGAGACTGTTTTAGACTTTTTGGAGCTACACTGAATCCCTAAGTCATTTCCTTTTGAAATCTTGAGCACTTCCGAGTCCCCCCTTTCTGTTGGTAGTCATGGAATTAAGTCCAATCCATAGATCCAGTTGAGAGCTATGGTGACTTTCACCTCCTAGAAAAAAAATGGCATCAGTATCTTCCCTTTTAGCTTAGTTGCTTCTTCAAACATCCCATAT